AATGAGATATTTATCATGGGGAAAATCAGATCTGTGTTCTCCTTCCCTTACATTTAAAAAAAAAAAAGGCAATTTGATGTCATTTTTATTTGGGGTGGGTTCCTTAACTGGTTCTGTATTTGTGGTCTCTAAAAGGTCTTAACTGGGCTCTGACCACCACCTTGGAACCATCATGTCTGTGACCAGATGTGTGTTTTAGTGAGAGAAACTTATGCACTGCTTAGCAGGTTGTTTTAGGTTTACACTGGGTGGAAGGAAAGAGTGAATCACACTCCTGTGATGCCGTGCGCCTTAGCTTAGCAGTACCACCGGATTCAGAGTAATAGCATCATACCTCTTGTAGACTTCATTGCAGAAAATACCTTACATTTTTTTTTTAAAGTGTTTTTGAGGTTGAAAAAGGTAAAACCTGCAAAACCGTTTTGGTCTCCACAGAGAAAACCTCACTGCCTGCCCCCCTCACATATAAAGAGAGGAATCCTCTTCGAGAGGAAAAGGATGGGAGACCCATGGCAGGGCCTGCCGAGCCGTAACTCCACACGAGGGCTGTGGGACATACTCTCTCTTAACCCACAGCCTTTCTGGGACTGCGTGCTGGTGTCCTTGGTAAACCTCAAGGATGGCACTAGGCTATCTCCTACCTCTGATCCCATGGAACGATTGTGAGGACTCAGTTATGAAGCAAAGCGGAAGCTGGGGCAGCAGAGTTCAAGGTTTGGCTTGAGGTCTGATGCCAGGACAAGGTCTTTGTGCCATCCGAGCAAATACCGAGCTTGGCTCACTCTTCCGTGCCATTCTCGGCTCACGTCGTGGGGGCATGGTTAAGAAATCCAAACCCTGGGGGCTCCTGGGAGGCTCAGCCAGTTAAGCAGCTGCCTTCGACTCAGGTCATGATCCCAGGGCCTGGGATCGAGCCCCATGTCAGGAGCCTGCTTCTCCCACTCCCTCTGCCTGCCTCTCTGCCTACTTGTTCTCTCTCTCTCTCTGTCAAATAAAAAAAATCTGAAAAAAAAAAAAAAAGAAATCCAAACCCAGAACCAAAGCTGTCATTCTGGCTGGACATGAACGTGCTCATGGGTGGGCGCTGCAGAGGGTGGGAACCCAGCCAGAATCTAACCAAACACAAGAGAGTCTCTCAAAATGTGGTGGTCACCCTGTCCCTCCCTGGTCCTCCTGCCCTGGAGGGGACCTTCTAGGGTTCACCTGGATGATCGTCTCTGGTGGTCTGAATTAGGACCACTGCAGAAACAGATCGATGCATAGCAGAGACCCCCCCCCCCCCCCATCCCTTTGCCATGTAGAGTGGTCGGCGGGGGCCAGGCCCCCAGGATTTGGGGCTTGCTTGCTCAAGTCGCTTCCTGGGAAATGGCAGCATGAGGTCATAGCAGGCTGGGTGCCTGCCACCCCCCCCGGCCCCCCCCTGCCCCCCCAATAAAGAGCTTTGCTGAGAAGAGTACACTACATTCTGGAGTAAGACTCCTCTTGAAACTTCTACCTCATTCTGAACTCAAGGGGTGTGTGTGGGGGGTGTCTATAAAGAGGAAAATTACAGGCAAAGGCAAGGTTGAGGAATCATTTCTTTAAAGGTATTTACAGCAGACATAATTCTCTGTTCCTTTCCAGTGAGCTCGCCAGGCCCTGAGTTGTTCCTCTCCCCAATTCTGTGCCATGGGCGTGCTAAGGCTCCCCTTGCAGTGGGGTGTACACCTGGGAAATCCGAGCGAGGGGTTCTTCCCGGAGACCACACATGAAGGCATCCAAATGATTGTGGGACAGGTCACTATGATTGGCTTCCTTTTCTAGGGGGGAGACTGAGGCTCTTGGGCAGGAGGGAGTTGCATGAGGTCCCACGGTACGAGTGCAGAATACAAGGCCAGGTACCTGCCGCCATGTGTTCCTTCCCAGGGCCCAGGTAGGGCTTCATTGCCAGGTGCACAGGAAGGCTGTGGGGGCCCACCAAATGTGCTTCTGGCCAGGGGAATGTGTTCCTCTTAATACTACAAGACGTTAATTAAGCACTTACTATATGCCATGCACTGGTCTAAGTACTTGACATGCATTAACTTAAGTAGCCCTATGAAGCAGGTGCTATGATAATCACCCCTGTTTTACAGATGAGAAAACTGAGGCACACAGAGGCTAAGTAGGCCTTGTAGGAAGTGCCAGAGCCAGTGCTCTTAATTTCCACCTTCTGCTGTCTCATGCCCTTTACTGTCTGGGTATTAAGGACAACTGTTTACCCAGCACATTGTGCACACCTAAGCAGGCTCATGTACATGATCACATTTAATTTCTTTCTACAACAGCCCTTGGAGGCAGGTAGACTGAATGATGCTGTCCTCCCATCCAAGTGCTAACCAGGCCCAACCCTGCTTAGCTTCCGAGATCAGATGAGATCCGGCGCGTTCAGGTGGTATGGCCGCAGACTGAATGATACTGTTCTCACCAGAGGCTGAGGAGACTGAGGCAGAGGTCAAGCAGCTTCCTCAAGGTCACTACTAGTTAGTAATAAATGAACCACTCAGGGCTCCTGATTTTGAAGAAATGTTTGCTGCATTGACCCACCGGGAGTTAACCCTATGTGTTGGATCAGGAAGGAGCAGTCACGCCCAACACAAAATCAGGGTGTCAGGTGATTTATGACCCAGGACTTCCCCATTGTGAGCTGCTTACAGAATAGAATGGAATAATTGCCTCTAGGTGCTTTCGGGCTACAAGGACAAGACAGGCGTGGCTCTGCTTAGGTGATGAATGTGAACCGTAAGCCCACAGGGGGAAGTGAGGAGTCTTGGACAGCCATCTCAACAGGGCCAAGCTGTGCTTTGTCCCAGGCCTCCTGGAGCTGGCCCGCCGGGTCACCTTATAGGAGTAGAAACAATGGCCACACCTTGTCTTGAAACACTCTGTCTTCCTGTGGTTATTCTGGCATGTTCTCTGTAAGAACCTCACAGTCATCCTCCTGAGACAAGAAAATCTGAGGATCGGGTCACCATCAATCAGGAGGGCCCCTTTCGGATAGAGTCCCCACCTGCCACCTCCCTGCCCGCTAGCCTCCTTTGGTCTAGGGTGTGGATTGCTTTTGGCATCTTCTCTGTTCTAGGTGGTTCCTGGTGGGCAGGGTTGCAAGACCGATCTCATTCAACATGCAGGACACTATCCAGAGTAATGTCACCAAAAGAGCCTCCTGGGCTCCTTACCTCAGAGGGGTGGCGAAGGGCCGACCAGGCAGTGCCCATGCGTGGCCTGTTAAACACAAGGGTAAGGCAAGGAGAGACCTTAGAGACTGCCTTTTAGTTTTATCGAAAGCCAAGTTTGGAGAGTTGAGACATTTGCTCAGCGCCACTGGAAGGGTTCGCGGCGGAGCTGGAAGCGGGGCCCGGCGGCGACGATTCTAGGTCCGGCACACTTCCCACTGCTCTCTGGAGATGTCAAGGAGGAGTCTGCCATCTGCTCGGCTGGATGCTTGCTAAGTGCTTCACAGCAGTTAAAAAAAAAATCAGGACTTTCTTGGGTACGAACATTTATTTCCCTCTTTTCTCTCCCCCCACAAATCCCTGCTGTCTTAATTTGATGCAGACTCAATATAGAAGGGGTGAGCAGGCATGAGGAAACCCCACAGGCCAGAGCCAGGAATCTGTCTGCAAGAGGGAGAGATGCGAGAAGCATCAAGCAGGTGGGCAGGTCTCAGACACCATGAGTCTTTGAGGTGGCGTACTGTCACCCAATGCTGCCCAGGTGTCCTGGCACTAGCTGCCACCCGCCCCCCCCAGGGATGATTCAGCCAGAAGGCACACTAAAACCTGTTAGCCATAGAACACCAAGTAAACAGCCCCTAGGAATTTCTCTGACTTGAATTTCAACTCATTTACTTGGGAGCATCTGTCCTCTCTGCTTGGGGAAAGGGGGTGGGGTGGGGAAGGCTAAGATTACAGTGTCCTTCTGCCTAAAGGAGCCCGTGTGGTCTAGAGGTGCTGAGGTCCCCTAACACCGTTCCCAGGATGTTCGCTGGGGCTATTGCAAGGACGGCAGGGCAGGGGGGCGGTGTGAAGGGGAGACTGAGGAGGATGCTTATTCCCTGCACCCCCTCACCCCCTGCCACTGATTACTTAGCTTTTATCAGCTTTCTCGGTGGATTCTGCCCACATTTTGTTTCAGGTGAAGATTCTGTTGCTGAAGCTTTTTGAGAAGCACGGATCCAGTGGGGAGATGTGGGAGGGGAGACAGCAAGGTTTTCGGCTCACACCTCCACCAGCTTGGGAGTGAGCTTTATCAAGCCTGCTCATCCCAAGAGCCACACCTCGGCCATTTCCACTTCGAGGAAGGCTCACCTGGACTCTATCCTCCCTTCCCTCACGAGAATGGTCGTTGGGGGGTGGGCTACCCTTCCTTGGAAATACTCTCAGGCCTCTACCTGTGCTCTCAGGTCGGCCCCACAGCTCACTGCCCACCAGGGTCTCCCACTCACCCACCATCCCATCCCCAGCGTCTTTCTCAGATGAGCCCAAAGGTGTGACGCTAACTGAAAAGGTAAAAAAGGATGATTAAAGATCAAGGTTCTATTATTGCATAAATTGACAGGGAAGAAGAAAGATTGGGGGTGGGGTGGGGAAGAAGGCAGGAAGGGGGATGAAGACTCCTGAGCCTGGAAACCCGGTCGGGGCTACTTTTAGCAAATAATATTTACTTTCTAGTCAAACAAGCTTCGTAGATCCAGGAGGAAGGGATGCAGAGACTTTGAGGCAGCCCCGCTGGCTCTGGTTAGGTAAAGTACACTAATTAGGATGGGGTGGGAAGCCAGAAAAAATGTAATTACTCATCCGATCCCAAATGCAGCTCATTGAATCCATGGGAAACTTGCCTCGGGAACACACCCAGTTGGAAAGGTCAACACCATCAGATGAAAACTGCAGGCGGATCGGGAGTGTACTCTGACATTCAACCGAGGACTGACAGGTCTCCAGAAAAAGGCCCGGCACCTTTGCTGACTGCTGAATTCCCAGCTCAAGCTTGCTCTCCAAATTCCATGACGAGCGGAATTCTCCACCTCCCCCAAGCGCCTTCTTGCTGTTCTGTGCAGTTACCTACGAAAGGAATGACGACTTTCAAAGCAACGTTCCCTGTGCAGTAGGTGTTTGACAGGGGTGGATCTCAGGGGGCTGGGGGAGTGGTGATGACAGAGCAGATGAAGAGGGAAAAATAATAAGGTTATATACAGGTTAGCAAATCTGGATTTTTAAAAAGTAGGTTTTGGAGAATACCTCTACTCCAAAAATAGAGGTTATAGAACACAAAAACAGGCCTAAACTTTCCATTGAGATTCTTAGGAACAGAGGGATTTCAGCTTCAGGGGATGATAGCCTAGTAATTCAACTCCCTTATCCTTGTGACTAAAAATAAGGATGATTAAAGAATAGAATCCTAGCTCCCTGTCATCCCAGACAGCCAGGCTTTGGCCCCGGACTTGTAAATCAAGCAAGCAAGCACACTGGAGAGAAATAGCTGCCTTTGTAAATATTTTAACTATTATCTACCCATTATTAAGGCAGTAAGGTTGAGGACCACAAGGTCACCAATGGATCCCCATTGGGGCCTTCTCTGGCCAGCTGCTTCCTGGGTAGGTCAGAGTACGTGCTTGAAATGACTCCGAAGTCAGCTGGCCTCTCTCAGACCATGTGTCCTTGCATCTTCTGTTGCTGGGAGCGACTTGCATGTCCTCCAGAATTTCTCAGGCTGCATCTCCAAATGCGTTCTACAACATTTGGAATGTCATTCTTATCTCACAACCTGCTCTCTCCAACCAGAGATTCCTCCCAGGGCACTGACTGCATTTCCATCAGGCGCCCACATTGCCACAGCTGTGAGAGCAGACAGAGCCAGGGGGACAGGTGAAGCTGTCCCTGCAGCAACTTCTCAGACTGGCAAAATAGTTCCAGCCAACAAGAGAACCCAAAGAATGTCTCTGTTATGGGGGCCAGTCTGTGGGACATATGTTTCCTTAGGGGCAAGGCTCAGAGGTGTCAAGGCCAGGACTCTGGCCAAATGGGACGGTAAAAGAGAAGGAAAGGTGAGGGACACAGATACATCCTGAATGTCCTGAACCAGGCCAACGCAAGACAGATTTCACACAAGACAGATCTAAATTACCTTTGGGATTCCCCTAATTAAATTCTCTGAGACTTTGAAATTACAGCAAGTATAGGGTGTAAATTGCTCTGCGTTCTGTTTGCCGTCTATTAGATTCATACAGTTTATGATCGTCTTTGGCTCATGGTGGTTGGCTATAACCAGACTGCACCGAATCCCATGGAAGGTAAGGACATTTTTATTTAACTCTCCCAGAACCCCATAGGGATCTACACACACACACACACACACACACTTTCTCTCTCTACAGGACTTTACTATTATCCAGGTTGAGCCAGTATTTTTGTTGTCCTAGGAAAAAGGAGATGAGGCGTTAATGGTATCTGTATTTACCTGAGTTAGTATAGATATTTTTCAGGGTGAGCCTCTGGTACTGGAAACTGGGAAATCAAACTTAGAAGGAAAGAGAAAGACAAGTGACCCTGCCATCTAGAAATCTCAGAGACAGGCAGCACAGAGTGACCTGGTGTTACTGGTGTCTCCAAGGCCTCCCCATGGCTCCAGTCATCCCAGAGAAACTGGGAGAGCAGGATTCCGCCCCATGCCCACCATAAACCTGAGATACCTACAGGTGCACTGACCCCATGGGCTGCTCCGAGAGAAAACAGTGAGGGCCATGGGTTGGATAACAAGGATGTTCATGGACATATAGTGTGGTGAGAAAAGCCTGATTTAGAATCTGGGTTCCTGAGGTGCCTGGGTGGCTCAATCATTAAGCGTCTGCCTTCGGCTCAGGTCATGATCCCGGGGTCCTGGGATCGAGCCCCGCATCAGGCTCCTTGCTCAGCGGGGAGTCTGCTTCTCCCTCTCTCTCTGCTGTCCCCCCTGCTTGTGCTCTCTCTCTCTGTCAAAAATAAATAAAATAAAAAAAAAATAGATAGAATCTGGGTTCCACCATCCACCAGCTGTGTGATCTTGCCCACAAGTCTTAAACTCTCTGGGCCTCAATTTCCTCATGTGGTGTGATGATCAGAATTGTCTAAAGTGGCCGTGGGTTCTCACTCTAGCTGCCTGGACAGTGAGCCCGCGGGGCACCGGGTGGGAGCTTCTCACTGACTCCCCACAGGAGGCAGCGCATCTCAGCTTAGCCCATGGGCCCACTCCTTCTTTTCCTGACAGGAGGGACTCTACTATCCCATGGACCCCAAGATCTGGGCAGTTGGCATTCTCAGACAGCTCCTATAAACGGCTGGGAAATCCAGACCACTTGGCACCACTGTCAGCTTTGTTCCTAGGCTTGGACTATTTGGGAGGATGGGTGGATCCAAGGGATGGCTGCCTTCGCTCATTTTGTAGATCCTTGCTTGATTCATTCGCCCTTTCCCTGATACAGCACATTCCCTAGCTCATGCCTTGTGACATCATGAAGTCTGTCTTGGACCCTGGTAACAGGGAGCCATCTTGCGTGACCCTTTGTTTGCAGAAATGGGGTTAATAACACCTTAAAGGATTGTGGTAAAAATTCATTTGACGAGTCAGGTCCAGAGGCAACAGCCTGAATAAAGGCATGAAGTTGTGCCTGGGCTTGCATCTTCAGGACATTTAAAAATTGAGACCATTGCCAAAGATGAAGTGAATATTAAGAAATATCACTTAAAACACTTCACTGAATGAAGCTTGCTTTGTTCACCTACATTTCCTATGTGCCCTTTATAGGCCCATAGGCTCCTGACTCCTGTATGATGCAAACCAGCTTCCCTAACTAATTTTTATGTTAAATTGAGTTCACTCTCCGAACCCAAGGAGAGAAGTACCCGCCGCAGGATCTGAGGCGGGTCGTTATGTGTGTGGCCTCGGCGGTGGTGGTAAAAGAGAGAAGGGATGTGGGAGCATTAACAGGAGGGTTCTGACATCTCGGTCTCTGCATCCTGCGGGGAGAGAGCACTTGCTAGCCTCTCGAGATCCCTATCCCCAACCCCACCCATCCCAGAAGCCAGCCTTTCCATAGATTAGTCCTCTCTGCTGCAAAGGCGGGAGAAACGTGACCACCAGGAGCGCCGTGCAAGACCTGTCCTACCTGGGGGTGGCGGTGGGGGGCGCTGCGCGGGTCTTCAGCTGCCGGATGAAATGACCACAATCCTGGGAGAGCACTGTCTGCAACAAAGCTGGGGTTCACTCAGAAGCTGCTGGGAGTGCGGCCCTGCAGACTGGCCTGGGCCCCAGGGAAAAGAATGTCCAGAGGGAGACCCTCGCTGAAAATGTCACATCTCTTGTTCAGTCATGGATTGAGCTTGGGGTTTTTTTTTTGTTTTTTGTCTTTGAATTTTATACAGTTCTTTGTGCCCCAGAATGAACAGTTATAGTAAACCTCATTTTAAAAAAAGTTCTCGGGCGCCTGGGTGGCTCAGATGGTTAAGCGTCTGCCTTCGGCTCAGCTC